CACTCGAGGTAGAGGCACAGTTTATGGGCATATGTGGATTATGTGGTACCATGCATCTAGGTGATTTGAAAGATATATTTATAGATATATGATTTGCTTTTTTTTACGGTTTATCAACCATTTGAGGATTATTTAAGGCCGAAATGTATTTTAAATTTTAAGAATAATTCTTTCTTTTTGCAAGAGGATCGTGGCACCATGCATTCAGGCGATTTGAAAAAAAAAAGAAAAGAAGAAGAAAGGGAAAAGAAAAAAGTAATGCGGACGGATCATAGAACACACACACACACGGCTTGAGAGACGGGAATAAGACGAAAAAGGGTTATTTTGATAGGTGTCAAATGTCGAAAAAGTGTCATTACAATGACAATGAGATAAAGTGGGTGGGGAAGGTGTTATCTAAACTTTTGGTAACGGAGAAAAACAAATGAGGGCCACCTGCGAACAAGCATTGACCGATTTCCGTATCCGCGCAAATGGAATTGTGATTATCCAAACGTTAGATGATCACTTGGGCCTTAGCTATGGAAAATTAAAATCCACAAGTTTCTTCACTGGTTTTTTTTTTTTCGACAAAACAGACTTTTGCCCTGCGATAATAAAATTTTGTTATCAGACACATGAACCGAAGGAAACTGAAATATTTTTTATTTCTGCTTTGGAGACGCCAGACTGGCTGAAAACTTGGCCGAAAATCCTTTCTTAGACCATGTCAGATAATCCAGCCGTCTAGTGCATTACCGATAAACTGCTTGACAAACGCCACGTGTTGAACAAAGAGTTGTCATATTAACCGCCCATGATAACGGCGATTTGAAAGAAAGAAAAAATAATAAAGAGGAGAGATCATTAATTTTTTTTAGTTAAGCAAGGTATATTTCTTTTCCAAAACAAAGCCATTGGTTGTTCATGCCCGACTAAGACGTCATTGGCCAAGTGGTGATCACATGACGCACGAAGGAAGAGGAAAGATACCCGACCAAGACCTCATTGGCCGAGAGTGGTCACGTGACGCACGAAGAAAAGAGTTGACGCCCCTATCCAGAGTATAAGTATGAGAAGCCGCTACGAAGAAGTGGGGAGGGCAGTGCACGCCCCTCAGAAGCATGGTGAGAAAGTGGGAGTGAGAAAATAGTTACCAAAAATGGAAAAGAGTGGAAAATCCCTAACCAGAAATAAAAGAGGTGGATATGTATTTAGAATTATCGAGGAACCCCCGACGCCAAAAGACCCATCCCGGTTTTGACGGCGTCAATAAAAACGAAGCCCCACCAGACATAAATCAGTTAGTTCAGTTCGTTCGACCCAGGCGGGCAGAGAAGACAGTTAATTCAGACCGGACGGCAGAGATGAGCGCTCAGTGTTGAAGCCGCCTCAAGATAGCTGACAATAGATTCACGCAAAATTTTGGACTCTTCTTCAACCAAGAACAATTAGTTTGAAGATCGACTTAGAACCAGACCACCAGAAATAAGTTTTTTTTCGACTTTCGTCCAAAGACACACCGAAACACAAATTTCTTAGAGAGCAAACAACTTGAAGCGTTAAAAACTTGCCTAGCGAAAACGACGTGTCACAATCCACAGAACGGGTCGGGGAGATAGATGCAGTCCTATGTATCGAACAACTAGACATAAAAAGTTTGTTACCTTTTTCTTTGATACTTTGAACTTTTTGAGTTTTCATTTTATTTTCTTTTATGCATATTTGTGTGTTATCACCCCCCGTTGAACTCAATTTGCATTACGGCCCCAACCCTGTTTGATCTCGTCTGTCTAAGATCAATTCACAACGTGGGTAGGCAGACTGGAGATCAGTGCAGTTACCTTGGTAACCAGGCGTTGGAAGCGGGTTGGGAACGACGAGGCTGATATCAAATCTAACCAGATCAAAAAACCCGAATCACCAAAAGGTTAGAACGTCACATTTTTGGAGCGAGCGACACCCGGACAGTTGGTCGAGGAGCGAGACAACAGCTGGCGCGACGGCGAAGACGTCACGTTTGGAATTGGAACTGTTTAGGGACGTCGAACAGCTGGTGCCGTGGACGGATAGGACCCTGAACAACCACGTCACAACTGGCGCCGTGGTAGATCAGGATAGAACGTCACAGTTGGCGCTGCGACCGGGGACGACGTCACAATGAAGATGAAAGTTGACTATTAACCTGGAGAGCTTAATAATGTAGTGAACGGGGAAGCATCGACTTGGGAGTCGGTTCTACAAAGCAGCCGTCCATGTTTTTCATTAAATATCAGTTTCTATGTTTTCTCATGTCTTCATTGTCATATCTTAAATATGTCTTACTTTAACATTTTTAAAAAAAATGCCAAAGTTGCACAACAGCATTAGAAGCCTTATATATATATATATATATATTAACCATATATATATATATATATATATATATATATATATATATATATATATATATATATATATAATTTTATAGATATATATAAGGCTTATAATATAAAAGCTTTTATAAAATTTATATATATATATATATATATAAGGGGCTTATATATATATATATACATATATATATATATATATATATATATGTTTATATATATATAAAAATATATATATATATATATATATATATATATAGATAGATAGATAATAGATAGATAGATAGATAATATTTTTGGAAAATATACATACATATATAAAATATATAAATACCCATACATGTATATTTTTCAAAAAAAAACCCCAAGAGGAAGAATCCAGGTAGAACTCAATGTCTAGGATTTGTTTAAGGATATAATAAAAGGTTTAACACTAATATTCCATGGTCATAATTTATTCCACTGGAATCGTAAATAGGATCCAATTCATCAGATCTACAAATTCAAAAAGAAAACAGAAAAAATAAAACAACTCCGGAAATAAAAACAGAATTTAGAGAGATGTGTGTAAGTATGAGGAGGAGGGAGATTAAACCTTAAACAGAGAGAATATTAGGGAGGTGGGTGGAAGGTGTTTAAGTAAGAGAAAATGAATGTTGTCAGATGTATAAGGATACATTTATGGTGACATACACACACCATAGACAATTTAATGTTAGAAAAAAAGGGAAAAATCGAGAGGGGGGGAGAGATGGGACGAAGGAACGTTTTTTAATATGAAACACGAAATGGATAATATATATATATATATATATATATATATATATATATATATATATATATTTCGTGTTTTTAGATGAATCTTCAAAGTTATCATTAAGCGTTGACGGTTATTTCTTTCAACTTATTTCTCTTGACATGTCAGCATACAGTGGAGACATGGAATTTAGGTTTACTCCGTATATCCATAGACTGGTGAGACTATATTTTCATTTTAAGTTGCTTCACCAAATGTTGGGGACACTCTATGCATATTTCTTAAGTTTCCTGTAAAATTTTTGGGAAATGCATTTGGCACTGTGCTTCTCAAAACTTTTACTTGAATGTCGGTCGGTTATGTGTCATAGGTGATACACGGGAGATTCATGACTGACTAGGCAGATGTTCCCGCAGTAGACTGCCGTTTCTTTCTGCGGTAGACTTGTTGCCTGCTAAGGCTATAGGACCTGTTCTGAACTGATATTCACCCCATGCCATTTTTCGCAAGGATATTTGCGCATAAGTAAATATAACGCATCTAACAGGAATTTTGAATAGATAGGGTCGTGCATCGTCGTGTTCAAACTGCTCTCTGAACAGGAGGAGAGGTTCATCCCTTTTTCCCCTGTTTAGGATCGAGTTTCCACTTCCTTCTAAAAACTTTTCATGCTCTCTCACTCCCAGTAGCCCTTTGCGTCTTAGTGACGTTATCGCCTTGCTAAGGGCGGATCAATTAAAAAAAAAAACGAACTCGGTTCTCGATTTTGAAAATTTTCTTAAATTATATATATATTATATATATATATATATATATATATATATATATATATATATATATATATTTGTGTGTCTGTGTGTGTATATATATATATATATATATATATATATATATATATACAAATATTGTATATATATATATGTATTTATGAAAATGTATATATATATATATATACACAAAACACATATGGAAATATATATATGTCTATTATATTGTGAAATGTATATATATATATATATGTATGTGTATATATATATATATATATATATATATATATATACCGTACACAATTTAAATATATATATATTATATATATATATATATATATGTGTGTCAAAATTCAATGTATGTGTGTGTGTGTATAATTTTAAGCATTTCATCCCAATTCAATCACACTAGCGCTCACGTGGTTACATATAGTGGACCAAGAATAAAAAGGCGTGATAGAGGAAAGGATGAAGAGGAGGAAGGGAAATAGATGAAGGCATCTGGAGATGTCGATTGACGTTGCATCATTTACAAGTTAAAGATTATATTATCAGGGAAGCAAATAAGAGAGAGGGAGTTCCACAGAAGGGAGGTGCGAGACATGAAGCTATTGGAGTAGAAGAGACGGCTACTTTTAACCGTTTCGACAGTAAAGTGGCGGGACTGAGATGCCGAGGTATAAAAAAAAAAGTTGTTGAGAAATTAGAAATGCTTAAAGACATTTCTAAGATTTCTCTAAAGCTACGTAAAAGATAGAGTCAGGAACCTTTGCATGAACCGATATGCAAATATTATGTAAAAATTGCTAAATTTGTATGAGAAATAGAAAAAGTATGATGTCTGAAAACGATGCCAAACAGTAATAAGAAGCGCCACCTCGGAAAAAAAAATATTAAAAGCTGACATTAAAGAAACAATTCGAAAGAGAATTGGTTTGCTCTTTTGAGTAAGGGCAAGGTTTGGAAAAGTCGGTGGAAGGGAAAGTGGGTGTAATTTGATGGACAGGAATAGGCCATGGATATTTAGGACTGTGACAGCTCGAAGAGGACCAGTGACAACACATTAGCGGTTCTCACAGGCAAAACAACGATGCAGATAAATATAGACACACAGGCAGACCTACACAGAGAGACAAAGAGAAAGGTGAAGGGGGAATGATAGGAAAAGAGAAAGAGAGGGGTAATGAAAGTTACAAATTGACAAAAAGACAGGTTTCGGAAAAATAGACCAAAAAAAATAGAGTTAAAAGATGAAGAGAAAAGCTGAGAACAAGACGGGAAGAGAAGGGAAAAGTGAACAAAAGGGTGAGAAGAAAAAAAAAAAAGAAAAAGAGAGAGAGAGAGAGAGAGAGAGTAACAAAGCGACATAAGAAAAAAGGTGAAAACAGAGGGAGAGAAAAGAAAAATAAGAAAAGGAAGGAAAAAGAGAGATAAAAGATAAAGAGAAAAAGCATAAAGATAGGAAAATAGCAAAGACTGAAGAAAAAAAAGAGAAAAGAAAATGTTAAGTAAAAAAAGAGAAGAAAAAAAACAGTAAGAGCGGAGCAAGGAAAAAATTCAAGAAATAAAGAAAGGATAGAGAGAAAGGATATTATCAACAAAGTAAGAAAACGGAAGGAGGGGGGGAGAGAGAGAGAGAAAGAGTGCGAAAAGAAAGAATAGAAGAAAAAGAGAGAAGGGGTCAAAGGGAAATAATAAAAAGATAAAAATGAGAGAGTGAAGAAAATGGAGAAAAGAAAAAGAGAAATGCCGGGAAATTTTAAAAAATTAAAGTAAAAAAGGGGAATGCGAAAAACATAATAGAAAAAAAGGAAAAGAGACAGTGGGAGGGAAAAGAGAGAGATGAAAATGTGAGGATGAACGATAGATAGATAGATAGATAGATAGATAGATAGAGAGATACATAGAGAGAAAGAGAGAGTCAGACCGTTTCTCTTCGTAGAGAGAGAGAAAAAGGAAAAATATAGTTTCCCTATAGCTTTTCTATAAATATTTTCATTGTAATTCTTCTGATATGGTACCTAGACTATATTGGCAAAAAGATTTCCTCATCTTACAGTTGAAATCGTTAGATGAAACCATAAGTTCTATGTGAACAGTTTCTTCTAACGGATTTCTGACTTGTGGATCTCTATTCCGGTTTTTCCTTCCCAGCCAATTTTGAGCTGCAAAAATTTAAATGAAATGTCGATTGTTATCTACTGTTTTCTTAATTCCTCTTCTTTTATTGTTCTATTCCTTAAATAATTTAATGGTTTTTATTGCTTTATTATCTTGCTTGGGATAAACTGGTTAAAAAAAGCAATAAAATAAATAAATAAATAAAAGGATTTATTTTTTTAATGACGATGTTTATGGCCGAGAAAAATAATTCTTGTTCTTCAAAAAAGAGAGAGACGAGAGATTAAAAAAGAAACCTGTTTAAAGTAAAACACTGAGAATGTGCCTGAAAAGGGTAAAGGAAAGAGGGAGAGAAAGAAAGAAGGAAAGAAACAAGATACTGCACGATGAAAAGGAGAGAGAGAGAGAAAGAATGAGAGATTGAACATGAGGGAAATTCAGATAGAAATCGTTTAGAGTAAAACTCTGAGAATGAGTTGGTTTGAAAAGGGTAATAGGGAAAGATAGAGATAGATAGATAGATAGATAGATAGATAGATAGATAGAGATAGAGAAAGAGAGAGAGCGAGAGATAGATAGATAGATAGATAGATAGATAGATAGATAGATAGATGAGTAGAATGTGTTGCTTCATCACATTCTATGAGAAAAGGTAGAGAGAGTGAGATAATGAAAGAGGAAGATAAAGATAGACAAAAAAGACGAGAACGAGAGAGAGAGAGAGAGTAAGAAAGGGTTTAGAGAGAGTGAGCAAAAGAGAAAAAGGAAATATATAAAAAGAAATTAAAGAAGTTTAGAGAGGAAGAAAGAAAGAGAAATAGGAAAAAAGAAAAGGAATGAGAAATGAAAGCAGTTTGTAGAAAGAAAGAAAGAAAGAAAGAAAGAAAGAAAGAAAGCGAAATACAAATAAAAGATGAGTGGAACCGAAATAACGTCAGAGAGGAAGAAAGGCTATAGAAAATAGAATATAAATAAATGCGAGACAAGAAGAAAGAAGTTGGAGTAAATAAAGGCCAAACCATGAAACGATGGAGAGATAAAGAAACAAGACGTGTGGTGTGTACCTGTTAAAAAGATAAATAAATACAATTGTATATAAAAATGGAGAGAAAGGTAAAGGAAGGAAGGGAGACGGAGAGAAGATAGATAGATAGAGAGAGAGAGAGAGAGAGAGAGAGAGAGAAATATAGAGAGTGAGAAGAGTGCAAACTGTTCTGTGAATCTTGTCAAAAAATATGCGTTCTTCGCAGGATTCGAACCTGTATCCCCTATGGGAAACAGCCATTAGATCTGACATGCACGAAATAGTGCTTTTGAATCGGCAGAGAATATGAGATCAAAAACACTAATTCGGGCTTTGTTTAACCGGAAGTCCTACGTGGCCGATTCGGTTAAGCACATTAGATCTAATGTCGGTTCGAATTTTGATAGTATTCCTCGAAAATTCAGGATGGGAAATGTTATTAAATAAAAATAGTATTTAATTAAGGCTAGGGACGTGATAGCGGCCATTGTCCTGAAGAAATGTACTCCAGAATTGGCTCCTGTCCTCTCTAAACTCTACAACTACTGCCTCTGCTTGTTTGAAGTCCTCATCTGCTGTGCCTGTCTTTAAGAACTCTGGTGACCCTTCTAACCCGTCTAGCTAGCGACCTATCAAACTCCTACCATTCTTCAGTGAAGTCTTCGAGGCTTTAATCAACATCGAAATGATTAAGCACCTTACTTCACATAATCTGTTCTCCGATAGGCAATATGGTTTCTGCTTTGCCCGACCTAAGGCTGACATGTTCACTGTCATAACTGAATTTGTATACCAAGCACTCAACAATAATAGAGAAGCACAAGCCGTGGTTCTAGACACCTCTAAAGCGCTTGATAGGGTTTGGCATGCTGACATTCTTCGTAAGCTTCAGGGATACGGTATTACATGACGATTCTTTAACTTAATCCAATCATTCCTGTCAAAACGTGAAATGAATGTCGTCCTAAACAGGTTCTCCTCCTTTATCATGGACGCTGGTGTTCTCCATGGCTCTATCTTGGGCCCTACACTGTTGTGATCTTCATCAACGACCTTCCCGATGTCATCAGTTCCCAAGTTGGCATCTACGCGGACGACACCACTATTTACTCCTGCCTTAACATTAAATCTGGTATCGTTGACAAAACTAACCTGGTTGCAATTGTTGGAATTTTGGGGTACCCTGGTGTACTAGTGAGCCAGCCAAAATGAGCTGACTCATTTTATAGTTCACCAATAAAAGGGTTAACCAATCAGAAGGCTCAAAATATTCAACCCGACGTGTATAAAGGCGGCTATTTTTTCCCGAATATGCACTGCCAGCCTTTGCTAACCCGATGAGGCTCCGCCGAAGGGCAGAGTCTCGTTCGGGGAGGTTGACTGCGCCTGAACCCGTTTAAACGCGTTCGAATATGGAATATTTTTGGCCGAGCCTACGGGCTCGGAGATCCCACGTTAATCTCGGCCTTGTGCCACATGTAACCCTCGTGGGGGTGGCTAAATATCACTGTCAGCCTTTGATATCGAAGACTGAAGAATTACGGAACAGCTGCTGGTGGTATTGGCGATATAGTCAGATTCAGTAGAGTGTCTGACTCGAGAGTGTTAATCTTTAACGTTGTTTTATTGAACAGGTTACGTACTGCGCTGTATTCTATATTCATAGACTTTGGTGAACGTGGTCAACAGCAATCACTGGTTGACTGGGACAGGAGATGGCTTAAACTTTAATGCCTAAAAAACGAAACTGCTCTCCTTTACCCACCACAGAGAACCCTTCCTGCCTCCCATCAGAATGGCTGATTCCCAAATCTTCGAGAGGGCCCCATTACGCCTGCTTGGTATCACGCTGTCCATTGACGAGGTGGAATAAGTACATTGAATCAATAGCTTCATCTACCGCAAGGAAAGTTGGTTCTCTGTGTCGTACCAGAAAGTTTTTATCGTCTGAGTCCATCCTTTAAATCTATAAATCAATCATCTGTTCTCGCATGGAATATTGCTGCCATATATGGTCTGGTGCTCTCGCTGTACGTCTCGAGGTCCTCGACGAAATCCAGAGACGAATATGCAAGATGATAGGTCCTGATCTGATATCTAGATATCCTCCTGACCCTTCTACAAGTATTTTCACGGCAACTATTCCGACGAGCTACTTTTTCTGGTTCCCGGACTACATGAATTTAAACGAGCTACCAGGCTGGCATCTCGGTTCTACTCTGTCAAAACGGTTAAATGTAACCGACTCTTCTACTCAAACAGCCACTTCTCCCGCACTTCCTTACTTGCTTCCCAGATGACTATAATCTTCAAATATTCAAGTGTAATGTCAATCGACATCTGACCCCTGAGCTTGTTCCCCGTCCTTCTCTGTATCCTTTACCCAAACACACCTCTTTACTCTTGTTCTCGATCCTCTAATCCCTTGGGTGCTAGTCGCGCTCCAGCCTTCCTTGGGGTGAATTGCCTTAAAAAAAAATAAACAGAGCATTTACTCGAATATGAGTATCCATCTAAAATAACGTTCAAGCAAAACAAATTAACACACACGCACACACACACACACACACACACACACACACACACACACACACATATATATATATATATATATATTTACCGCACACATATATTTAGATATTAATACAGATTAATAGTTTAAATAATACAGAGAGAATTATAGAGAATTAATACAATTATAAGGTTAGTCACTTAGGTGATTGCTGTTACATTCAGCCTCCCGACTGCTGATTTCGTAGACGGGCCCTCCGAGAATCACTTCGTCCACTCGTCAGTAGGTATCAGCAATTGACTACTTATACTTCACGATTTTTTATTGCACTTTTCATTGGTGCAAGTTTTTTTTTCATAATGTATGTGCGTGTGCATTTTTTCATTTTTATATCTAGCAAATTTACTATTGGTTGAATTATTGATATACATATATATATATATATATATATATATATATATATATATATATATAAAGAGAGAGAGGAAGAGAGAGTCTGTGCGTATGTGTGTATGTGCGGTGTGCATGTATGTATATATATATACTTGTATATATATATATATATACGGGTGCAGGACAATGCGAGAGATAACGACACAGACCTACTATGTAGCAAAAAGAGACAGACGAAAGGTCTATGGGAGAGGGAAAGTAAGAGACAGAAAGCGAGAAAGAGGCAATATGAGAAAGATACAGAAAAAGATAAGGGACAAGAGAGATTTTATATATATATATATATATATATATATATATATATATATATATATATATATATAAACTATACTCAGATCAGAGTTTACAGTCATTTGACATACGTACAATACGACAATTTTCTGCTAAATTCTATTTTCCCATGACACCAAAGCAACCTCCCGATCTTTTAACTCTTTAATTTGGAGTCGAAAAAAAGCCCCTCCTCCCGCAACAAAAGCCAAATTAAATCGGAGATAGATTACCGTCAACAAATTAATGCAAATGATACACATGATATCAATACGTGACCGACTATCTCGAAAAGTAACAATTTTTATTACCAGTTTTTATTTTGATGTCAATATTTGTTTTAATTCAAACAACTAGAGACAACCGTGTATGGCCTTTGTAAACGAGAATTGCATGGGATGCAGGCGTTGGCCAAAATCTCATGAGCTCTTTATCGCCGAAATATGATCTTGATTTCTGTTATGTTGATGAGCCATTGGACATTTTGTTTCGGCTTCTCGCAGCGGTCAAAGAATGGATGAATATCGAGGTGACGAAATCCCTGTATTGCCACGGAATATGTTTCGGAATGAAACGGCTATCATTTTTGATTTTGTCTTTTAAAGAAGAAATAAAGCTAATCCTTTGTCCTCATGTTTTGAATTCAGTGATTGACAAAGAAATCTGTCCTCCTATATTGCAGCGAATGCTGAAGAATCTCCTCAAAGATGAAGAAGAGACTTGAAGCAACAGAAATATAGTTCTACAGAAAGATCTTGAGGATACCATGGACCGAACGTGTAAGTAACAACGTTTTTCCTACATACGGGGTATCCCCGCCCGCCAAATTGACATATTTTAAAATTTCAATATCTGAGTAACTAGATGTCCCAGGCAAAAGAAATTAAATAGGCTTCACGTTAAACAATAAATAATTTAGTTTTAGTTATCAAAATTCAAACAAGATATTCAAAGGGATGTAGATTTTATAACCGATTTCACAAAGCTTCACAAATGTTTAATATACGCACTACCTGAGACACGGCACAAGTCAAGTCGGTAGTCCAGCTTCTGCCAGACACGCTGTAGCATGTCTTGCGTAACATTCTTCGGCGTCTCGGCGATTCTCTGCTTGAGTTCCTCTCGGCGGGGGAGAGAGACCTGTCCATTCACATAACCCCATAGAAAAAATCACAAGGTGTCAAGTGATGGCTATTTTAACAACATATTGTCATTATCACTGGCCCACCCGATCCTTCTTCCTGGTAGATTCTCACTGAGATAATCCGCACAGGCAACTTAATGCTGACACATATTGTTAAAATTTCAGATCATTTGAGTGAAAACTGTCTATAAAATGATGGCAAATTTGGGGGACACCCTGTATCTCTATCTA